CCACAACCTGGACAATTAGGCCAGGTGTTGTCATGGGTCTACAGAGGACCCCAAATTCCCCGGGTAATTCCTGAGGTTTTACTTTGGCCAGTAGTCACGTATCCTGAGGAAGCAGCCTCTGATGCCTTGAGCTCAAAGACCATGCAGTGGCCACACACACAGCTGTTTGCGTGGTCCACCTGCATCCCCTTAGGTCTTGTTTATAATTTGGTATCTTATCACCAGAAAGAATCCGTTCAATCAGACTTATGATCTCTAGTTTAAAACAATCTAGATGCCTTTTTTTTTTTTTTCCTGATTACCCTGGCTAGAGTTTCCAGGATAATATTGGACAGAAGTGGTGAGTTCTGTTTTTATTCCTGATCTTATGGGGAAATTGTTGTGAACTTGAAGTATGTGGACAAGGGTCCTCTCCCCAACCAGGGCTCATGAAGAAAGGTAAGAAGGCACCAGTGTGGCCTGAAGCAGGGAGTAAGGCTGGGGTGTGAGCAGGGGCCGCACCTGGCAGAGTCTGTAGGCGCCATGAAGGGTTTTGGTCCTTTTTCCAAGAGCAGAGAAAAGCTGTTAGAAAGATTTTCAGGTTGAGGATGGGGCGAACTAATAACAGCTGAGCTAGCATGAGGGTCAAGTGTCCTAGAAAGGGAACAACTGGCAAGGAAGACATGAAGGACAGAAACAAGTCTTAGTCAAAGCTGGAAGCAGGTGGGGCAGAACAAGTGAGTGATGCCCAGGGCAGGGAGGGTCTTACCTCTCAGGAGCCATCCGTCTTGTCTTACCCCGACCCCAGTGAGGGGAGTCCTTCAGCAGGAGGACCCTGTACCTAAGCCCCCGTATTTGGGCTCCAGAGACCTTGTCAGTCTGCATTAAGGACGGCAGGATTTTTCCCCTGCACAAGACAGGACAAATTTCCATCTGTGGGTTCAATTGGCCCGCTGTGCCCATGGGTTCCACATCTGTGGATTCAACCAAACTTGGAATGAAAATATTTAGAAAAAGTACAGATAGCTGCCTCTGTAGTGAACATGTACAGACTTAAAAAAAATTTTTTTTTTTTTGAAACAGTCTTACTCTGTGGCCCAGGCTGGAGTGCAATGGCGCAATCTCGGCTCACTGCAACCTCCGCCTCCTGGGTTCAAGTGATTCTCCTGCCTCAGCCTCCCAAGTAGCTGGGACTATAGGCGTGCACCACCACGCCTGGCTAACTTCTGTACTTTTTGTAGAGACAGGGGTTTTGCCATGTTGGCCAGGCTGGTCTCGAATTCCTGACTTCAGGTGATCCACGTGCCTTGGTCTCCCAAGGTGCTGGGATTATAGGCGTGAGCCACCATGCCTACTCAGTCCTATATTTTTAAAAAAGCCTTTTTCTTGTCATTATTCCCTAAACAATATAGTATAACAATTATTTACATAGCAATTATATTAAGTATTGTAAGTTAAATAGAGGTGATTTGACGCATACAGGAGGATGTGCATATGCACATTGTTTATATGCAGTTGTTACACTCTTTCATATGAGGGACGTGTCTGTGGAGTTTAGTATCTGTGAGGAGTCCTGGAACCAGTCCCCCAGGGAGACAGGGACGACGGTTTTGGGTGTGTGTGCGTGCACATGTGTGCATCTGTGTCCTTCCACGTGCACTTCTAGCCCAGTTCTGTGGACTGCCAGGCTGGAGGCTTCCTCCCTCCCAGGGTGTTGTAATGCCCGCCCCCATCCCCTTTCATTCCTTGTTGCTGAGAAGTCACATGACATCTGGTATCCAGGCTAATAGCTCTTATTAACCAAATGCTGACACATCCCCAATATATAGGGTGCTTAATTTAAAACCTGCTTGCCTGGCCAACTTTCAGAGAAGCACGCACTTCTTGAACAGGGAATGGGGATTTCCAATAGGCACTAGGTAGAAAATGACTGATGTCACACTAAGAACCTACAAAATGCCTTTCCTCTGCACTAAGAGAGAAGTGCAGGGGGGTGGTGGTAAGAGGAGTGGAGCCTGAATAGCCTTGGGGATTGTTCCCTCCCATGTGGGGTGGTGGAAAAGTCCAGTCTCAGGGGAGCCCAGCCCCTCCTAGGGACAGTCCACCACCCTGCTGGCAGTCCGTGTCCCCCCCAGCCACCCGTTTGTGATCCAGGTTGTTCATCAGCACCCCATGAGCATCTGTCATCACAGGACCTGGGCAAGGCCAGCAGGCTATGGCTCCTGAGAGCACAGCTCAAAACTGGGTGTGGTGGTTCTTTCCAGAACTCAGGCCCCAGAAAGCCCCTCCCTTTTCCTCCTTGCTCCTGTAGGTGTGAGTGATGTGCAGACCTAACAGCCAGTCCCACCATGTTGAGGTCCAGCCCAACTTCTTTAGGGAGAAATCTTAAGTTTCTTTTGTAGGGAAATGAATATAGCCTTTACTTTGGTTTGTCCTTAAGCAAAGTGGAAAAAAAAGAAATGTTCTCCATGTTTCCATTTTCCTTTTTGTTTTTGCTAAACGCTTTTTATGAACATATTTAATAAATGTTTCAGGTGTAGGTGTAAAGATCTCACTAAATAGGAACAAGTTGAACTTACATACCTTTGAAACGGTATATGAATGGTGACTGAAGGCAGCATAGTATATAGAAAGAATAACTTTAAAGCTAGAAGATCTGGATTAGGGTGAGAGCACTGGAGATATTTTTAATAATTATGACAGTGGGGTGGAGGGAATGTCACTGGTATCCAGTGGGTAGAGGCCAGGGATTCTACAGGGCATAGGACAGCCTCCCTCACCCACCCCCATACACACACACACACACACACACACAACAGAGAATTCCCAGCCGCAAATGTCAGTTGTGCAGATGTTGAGAAAGTGCTCTGGATAAACTCTTGTATAAGAATATTCACAGCAACATTTTTGGAGGGGCAAAGGGGAGCTCTGAGGGGTAATAATGAAAGAATGGGAAGGAGATCTGAGGAGTAATACTGATTGACAAAATGAGAGGGAAGTCTGTGGAGTAATAATGAGGGGGTGGGAGGAAAGATTGTGGAGTAATGAGAAGGGTGTGAGGGAAGTCTGCAGAGTAATGAGAGGGTCGAAGTGTGAGGAGTAATGAGGAATGGGAGGGAAGTCTGAGGAGTAATAATGAGAGGGTAGGAGGGACGACTGTGGAGTAATAATGAGGGTTAGGAGGGATGTCTGTGGAGTAATAATAAGGGGGTAGGAAGGACGTCTGCAGAGTAATAATGAGGGCTGGGAGGGAAGTTTGACAAATAATGAGAGGGTGAGATGGAAGTCTGAGAAGTAATAATGAGGGGGTAGGAGGGATGTCTGCAGAGTAATGAGGGGGTAGGAGGGAAGTCTGAGGAGTAATAATCGGGGGTAGGATGGAAGTCTGAGGAGTAACAGGGGTTGGAGGGAAGTCTGAGGAGTAATAATGAGGGAGTAGGAGGGAAGTCTGCAGAGTAATAATGAGGGGTGGGAGGTAAGTGTGAGGAGTAGTAATGAGGGGTTGAGAGGGAAGTCTTAGGAGGATGAGGGGGGTGGGAGGGAAGCCTGAGGAGTAATAATGAGGGGTGGGAGGTAAGTGTGAGGAGTAATAATGAGGGGTGGGAGGTAAGTGTGAGGAGTAATAATGAGGGGTGGGAGGTAAGTGTGAGGAGTAATAATGAGGGGTGGGAGGTAAGTGTGAGGAGTAATAATGAGGGGTGGGAGGGAAGTGTGAGGAGTAATAATGAGAGGTGGGAGGTAAGTATGACGAGTAATAATGCAGAGTGGGAGGTAAGTGTGAGGAGTAATGAGGGGTAGGAGGTAAGTATGAGGAGTAATAATGAGGGGTGGGAGGTAAGTGTGAGGAGTAATAATGAGGGGTGGGAGGGAAGTGTGAGGAGTAATAATGAGGGGTGGGAGGTAAGTGTGAGGAGTAATAATGAGGGGTGGGAGGTAAGTGTGAGGAGTAATAATGCGGAATGGGAGGTAAGTGTGAGGAGTAATAATGAGGGGTGGGAGGGAAGCCTGAGGAGTAATAATGAGGGGTGGGAGGGAAGCCTGAGGAGTAATAATGAGGGGTTGGGAGGGAAGTCTGAGGAGGAATGAGGGGGGTGGGAAGGAAGCCTGAGTAATAATGAGGGATGGGAGGGGAAGTCTGAGGAGTAATAATGAGGGGATGGGAGTGAAGTCGAAAGAGTAATAATGAGCTGGTGGGAGGGAAGTCTCCGGAGTAATGAGGGTGGGTGGACAGATGGGATGGGAGTAGACAGGAGTGAGGTCTGAGGCATAATAAGGATATGAATGGGGAGCAAAGTCTCACGGCAGCATTTTTTACAATAGTGAAAACTGGAACCATCCCAAGTGACCATTCACAGTGCCCTGGAGAAGTAAACTGTGACACAGTCACTCGCGCAGTGGTGTAGTATCAGGCAGCGAGGATGAAGGAACTACAGCTGCAGGCATCAGCAGGGCACATGGTCCAGTTGTTGAGTGTGTGACCGTGGAATATGATGCCTTTCATACAGTTGATACAGTCGGACCACAGATATTGGTTAGGGGTATTTACATGTGTGGCGAACTGTAGAGATGAGCCAGAGAATCATGAATACAAACTGTAAGGGTGGTGGTAATCTGGGGGGAATGCAGTGAAGGAGAGATGCCTACAGGCTTCTGTGGCACCTGCAAAAGTTCCATTCCCCAACTTGAGGAAGGAGGGACAGATACCTGAATGTTCCTGATTTAAATGTATGGGTATACTTTTGATACTTTTATATGGATATGTGTCTCCCACATTGCCTTCTATGCTGGGGACACAGTAACAGCAGCAGCTAAGGTTTTTAAGAGCTATGTGTGTTTGCAACAACCTTGTCAGAAAAATTACTTTTATTCCTCAAGTTTAAAGACTACGCCCTGGGCCATATGTCTTCTAAGGATGGATTTGAACTTGAACAGGCCAGTGCCGGCCACCATGCTCCAAACCACCGCTCGGTGCTGCTGCCTCCTGTTGGGGCCCAGTCTCACCTGCTCCTCTCTCCCCACAGGGTCAGGAGACAAACGACCAGTAGGCCTCCCCCAGCAGGGGGCAGACCCAAGCCCCAGCCCAAGCCCAAGCCTCAGGTGCCACAGTGCAAGGCTTTGTATGCCTATGACGCTCAGGACACAGACGAACTCAGCTTTAATGCCAATGACATTATTGATATTATCAAAGAAGGTAAGTGTGTGGCCGGTTGGCTGGGACAGCCTCCCAAAGAGCACATGGTCACATTGCTGTAAGATCTAGTGTGAAGATGAAGAGAATTTATGAGCTCCTCAAACTGCAATTTGTAGAGGCAGATCCAGGCCTCAGGCTCAGTCTGATCAAGACACCAGCTGCTCTTTTAATGCTTCTTTCAGCTCTGACCCCTTCTTTATATCACCTCCCTTCTCAAGCTGTTTTTCTTCATGGTAGCAAAATGGCAGCAGCAATTCCAGGCCAACATACCAAACCATGTCTGAAATCTGCATCATCTCTGCAACTTCTTTTCTTAGCCATTGGACAAAAGTCCTGAGTTTTATTCTGATCAGACCAAATTAGTCATGTGTCCATCCCTGAACCAACCTCAGTAGCAAGACAAAGGCTGTACCCCGAGTGGATTAGAACTGGTAGGGGCTGTCCCCAGAAACCGGGGCGGGGGGGTCTATCCCACCCACACTTCCTGGCTTCCTCATAATGAAAGTAGATGGTGTGGAAGCCAGGGAGACAACCTTCAATATCCATTAGTAAAGCAGTCCATGGGCTTGGCTGAGTGCTTTATTAATTTGGTAGATATCTTTTTACAACAAACTTCTTGATTTAAAGAACAAAGGGAAAACAATATGGATGGAGCCACATCACTTGAGCCCGTATAGGAGCAGTGTGTGTTTGGCTGGGGCAGAACAGACTTACTCATCTTCACTTTCACCACCTCTCTCCCCCTGCAGATCCTTCTGGCTGGTGGACGGGTCGACTACGAGGCAAGCAGGGCCTGTTCCCCAACAACTATGTGACCAAGATCTGAGGCGCCCATGACTCTGACGCATGGGGCAGAGGAGCTCCAGGCACAGACCAGGGGAGGAGATATTTAGGGGCTCCCCTTACAATCCACAATGAGCAACTGCTTCTCCAAGGCCTGGAGCTATTCTGGTACCTTCCCCATGGAGGACACTGAAAAGACTGGGTTGGGGACAGGGAGTATCACTCCGTAAGTGATCCTAAAAGGTAGCCTCTTCATAGGAACCCAGGAGGGCAAAACCACCATGCATTAAGATTTATTTATTGTATTTAAACCTGGTGAGAGGACAAGTGAGGTCTGCTCAGACCTTATAGGCTTCTATCAAAACAGCACCCGGCTTGCTCACCAGGCCTAGGGAATGGCTGTAGGCGGCCGCTGACAAGTGCCTTTAGTTGAAGAGCACATTTCTTTCATCTCTTTTGTCCGTACCTGATATACACATTCCTCTCTGCCACCTTCCCTCAGGGAGGACCCGCCCTCTGCAGACTGGGCTCAGCGTGAGCAGGCACTTCCCACGCACATGCCAAGGGCAAGCTGGCCTGCTGAGCCCAGGGGGACAGCGGGGCACTGGTTTACACTTTGCCGGGACCATCAGGGCCGCCAAGCAGGTCAGGGGCTGGGGGCTGGGGGCTGGGCTGCCGGCTTTGCTTTCTCTGGGTCTTCAGTTGGAATGTGGCTGGCCCATGTTGGTTTGTGTTTAAATGCTGTACTTATTACAAGAAGGATCTTTTTTCAAGCTGTACATTTATAAAAACAGATCATATACTGTATATATAAAAATCTTGAGATGGTAGAAACATGTATGAATGTACTAAGTAGTAGTCCACTGTACTCATTCATAAGGTAGGTTTTCTTACAAAACTCACACCAGGTACTTACAGATGTGCCCTGCTCTTTTCCAATTAGGGAATGTCATTGCTTTCTAGCTCAGTCCCTGCACTCTTCTCAACTCTTTCTCTATAGGAAACTTCCTCCGCATCCCGCCCCCACCTCCTAAATAAATAAAGGAATCCGCGAACACCTTCTTCTTTCATGACATTTGTTATGGGTTGAATTGTGCGCCTCCAAAGAAGATGTTAAAGTCCCAGCCACCAGTACCTCAGAATATGACCTTATTTGGAAATGGAGCCTTTACGGAGCAAACAAAATTAAAGTGAAGTCATTAGAGTGGGTCTTAATCCAATATAATGGTGTCCTGATGAAAAGGGGAAATTTGGACACAGAGACCAACATGCAGAGGAAAGAGCATGTGAACAGGCAGGGAGAAGAGAGCCATTCACAAGCCCAGGAGGGAGGCCTGGAACAGATTCTCCCTCACAGCACTCACAAGGAACCAACCCTGCCCACCTTGGTCGTGGACTTCCAGCCTCCAGAACTGAGGCAATACGTGTCACTGTTTAACCGCTCAGTTTGGGGTACTTTGTTACAGCGGCCCTAACCAACTAAAACAGTGTTTTCTTGCCATAATAGTGAAAAGTCGGAAACTGTAATGCCCATCAATAATGGAATGGTTGTAAGTAGAGACTGCCATTTCTCTACCTCTCCTCCTCTGGTTGCCATGGCCATTCTTAAGCTACTGGGAACTTAGAGTTTGAGCAGCATACACCTTTGAGTCATTTCAGGATCCTCAAGTCCATGGGAAAAAATTATCAGGGCTTACATATAAGGAAGAAAAAATGGATCTAGATTTGAAATGAAGATACGGCATTTAATTCTCCTGTGTTTTACTTCAAGAACAGGGAGCAAACTCCATTCTGTAACAGTAACAAATAACGTTAAAAGGCTACTTCAGTTCCATGTTGTGACCAGAGAGGAAAGTAAAGCCATGATGTGGTGAAATGAGGAAAGGTAATCCTATTGACACTAATGATCTCTATATATTTTACAAAGTACTTTCACATTCATGGACTCCCCACAGTGGGACGAAGATACCATAAGAGCTAGGACCGAGGAGCATGCTGGGGTCCCCACAGCCACCAGCACTCAGGCTACTTTCTCAGGGCAGGAACACCGGGACCATCTTCCCTTGTTACAAGCCCCTGGCTGGCTGGGACAAGCCTTTGTTTTTCCTCCTGATTGGCATTTTACACTTGTGTATAACTGGGAACCGTCAGGCTCCAGGTGACGAAACTGGGACTGAGTGAAATCTCCCACGAGTAGCACGAACACCCTCATCCATGGAAATCACAGACCAAGCCCTTAGCACCTGCATCGTGTGCCCAGCCAGTGCCAGGCTCACGGAGATGCCCAACAAATGGTGCTGAAATAGGTGAGTGACCCATAGGGGAAGGAGACTTAGATCTGTGTAGAGATGCTGAAATGCTGACACTATTAAGAAAAGTTTGGAGAAATAGTGGTTTATCTTAAACTTATTTGTATATATGTAGAAATTCAACATGGGGACTACCAGAAAAATGCCCTTTTTCCCCTTTAGGGTCTTTAAGACACTAACCTGGGTTTCCTCTAGTCTCTGGATCTAGCCTGGCCTGCCATTTTGTTCACTGTGCAGTTAAGTAAATATGACCACTTCAGGAGTCACTTACCAGGAAAGAACATACAGAACGGGGCCACCCCCACTTTTTGGAACTTGCCATCCTGTTTGAAATAAGGGGTGTTGATGTGCACACACAGCAACATGGAGAGCAGTATCAAACACAATGTAAAAATGTGATACCCCTTCAACCAAAGGTTTCAGGTAACCATGAACTAAATGAGAAGGCCTGACTGTGTACCCTAGGGCAGAGGTGTTCGAGCTTTAGTGGTAGATGAGAGAGAGACAGAGGTGTATATAAGGGTGGCATCCACTCTATTGATGGCCATCTGTGAGACAGAGGCTGATCTCAAATTCCTGGGCTTAAACAACCCTGCCTCAGCCTCCCAAAGTGCTGGCATTATGGGCATGAGCCACCGCACCTGGCCAACTGGCTTCTTAAAGACATGCAAAAGGGCCATCTCTTCCACAGTGTTTTTTTTTTAGCAATACATAGACATGTGGAGAGGGCAAAGGGTGAAGCCTTCTTGAATAAGCTTGCTCCCCAACCATGAAGGGTGCCAACCCACTGACCTCCCAACATGGGGTCCCAGCCCACTGTAATCAAACCTGACTCACCACTATTACCAAGTCCAGCCCAATGGAGGTGGAAAAGCATCGTGCAGTTTCCTTCTTAAAGGACCTGCCCTATGTGCACACCATGTCCACCAATATTCAACTGGCCAGAGCTTAGTCATGTGGCCTCAACTCAAGGGGGCTGGTCTTTCCACTGAGCTGTCTCAGCAGCTTATCCAGAGCACCAGAATGAGAGCGGCCTCCTGCCAGGTGGAGCTGTTCACAAAAATGAGTGAGAGGAAAATATGGATGTGCATCTATGAATTACAAACTCCATGGGCTTCCACAGAGCATGGCTTTTACGTATCTAAATTCCCTCTCTTTGCGACTCCCTCCTGAACTCATCCCCAGACCCTCCCTGAGTGGAGCTGGTCACACTAAGTCTGCCTGTGCCTCTAATTGCTACCATTTCTTTTATAGGTGGTGTCCCAGTTAAGATTTCCCTGGCAGTAGAGCTGGATTCTGGTTTCCAGGGCAATCAACAGCAGAGCATGAATGGTGCTTCTCTGGTGGACGATTTAACTCTGTGTTTCTGGCATCCCTCACTTTTGTGATCAAAAGACCAGAGGAGCCATTCGGCAATTCTGCCCTCTTTCACTGTTTTGCTTTTCTCCCAGGGCCTGATTACAGTTCTTTCTGGATTTAGTAACGTGGTTTTATTCCTACCCACTAATCTTGATGCCTTTTTCCCTACTAGGCCATACCTTTCCACTCTGAGCACCCTTTCCAACCAGAAGCCTGGCTCAATATGGTTCACTAGGTCGCCCAAGGTCACACAGTTCTTCCCTGGGGGAGCCACCACTGGAACTCTGAGTCAAAGGCCTGTGCTTTTTTATTTTGAGACGGCGCCTCACTCTGTCACCTAGACTGGAGAAAAGTAGAACAATCACACCTTACTGCAGTCTCAAACTCCAGGGCTCAAGCAGTCCTCCCACCTCAGCCTCCCAAGTAGCTGGGACCACAGGTATGTGCCACCACACTCAGCTAATTTGTAGAGATGAGGTCTCCCCATGTTGCCCAGCTGGTCTTAAACCTCTGGGCTCAAGCAGTCTTCCCACCTTGGCCTCCCAAAATTCTGGGATTACAAGCATGAGCCACTGTGCCCGAAAGGCCTGTGCTTTTAATAATTTTCCCCAATTCAACAAATACTTAGTAATGTGATCGTCTACTGTGTTAGCCTTTCAACTGCCAATATCTTTCTCTCAAAAACATAAAAATATATTTTTTAAAAAGAAAAAAACTCATGCATAGAATTCAACAGCTAGAAACTTGTAAACTCCTTTAATGGGCAAGAGCTCCATCTAACAAATCTGAATCCTCTGATCCATCTCTTTCCAAGACCATTAACCTTCTCCTTAAAATAATAACATCTATGTTCAAGTATCTTCTTTGTACTGGAAACTATACTAAGTGCTTGGCATACTTTATTTAGCACAACCCTATGAGGCAGACACTCTTAGCCCCACTTCACAGGTACAGAAACTAAAGTATAGAGGTCACAACTACTTAGAATCAAACTCAAAGCACCCACGTTCAGAGTTAGTGCTCTTCTATACTATGAATCCATATCCCATTTTTAATTTCCGTGTTTTTATGATGTGGTTTCTACTTCTGCCGCTCATTTCACATTTATGACATTTTAGTTTGGGGTGCCTGCTGTGCCATCTAAAAAGTATCTTAAAGGTCTTTATGACATCCTGGAGGAATTTCCTGAGTCAGAACATGCAATATTTAACTAAGTAAAATATGTAATAAGGAAGCTATAACATGTCTTTGGATATGCTTACAAAACTCAGGCGTTCTTGGAGAGAAGTTGAGCTCAAGCATCTCTGGGAAATAATTGCTTGTCAGAGCCAGGAAAGCTGCCTTTCATGGTCTCACTTCGTTACCCTTCACACTTGTGATCAGAGTTGTCTAAGGCTGCCATGGGAACAAGCTTCACTAACCCAATAACGGATATTCATCAATTCTACACTAGGATTTCAACATATAAAGATATCCAAAACTTACAGTTAAAGACACACTAGTCAGGCAGTCCTGCCTGCCCAGGAAGAGAGTAAAAAGCCAGCCCTGACTGGAGCCAGTTTCTCCTCCCCAGGGGCAGTTGTCCTCAACCACACCTGAATCACAGGAGCAGACACTGAATTTCTGTCAGCAGGAGGCAGCTCTTACCACACTCTAGGTTGGGGAAAATAACTGAGATAAATGAGTTTACTGCAAAGCACAGAGCCTTTATGAATCTTCCAATCATTTGCAATGTTTCACAAGTGTATTTGACTAACTCCTTTCTCTTACAACACCAATTAACATCTTGTTGAACCAGCGTCTTGGGAAGTTGTTTTTATACGAGACTATGTTTACGGTTTTTAAGTCAGTGGTTGGAGGTGAGGATGCACTCCCCCCACAGAAAACAATGTTTGAGCATCCCAGATTGACCTCAGACTGCTGAGCTACCAGCAAAAATTCCAAGCCAATGAGTGTTAGCTTGCTGGGCTCCGTGGGGGTGGGACCCAACGAGCCAGGCATCGGAGGGAATCTCCTGGTCTGTGGTTGTGAAGACTGTGGGAAAAGTGCAGTATCTGGGTCGGAGTGTACCTTTCCTCCCGGTACAGTCTCTCACAGCTTCCCTTGGCTAGGAAAGGGAAATCCCCCGACCCCTTGTGCTTCCCAGGTAAGGTGACGACCCACCCTGCTTCTGCTCACCCTCTGTGGGCTGCAGGCACCTACTGTCCAACCAGTCCCAATGAGATGAACCAGGTACCTCAGCTGGGAATGCAGAAATCACCTGCTTGGTTGGGGGAGGGGTGCCTGCCATTGCTGAGGCTTGAGTAGGCGGTTTTACACTCATAGTGTAAACAAAGCTGCCAAGAAGTTCAAACTGGGCGGAATCCACTGCAGCTCAACAAGGCTGCTGCA